GGGGGGGGGCTTTCCAGTTCTGACCAGCCCGGTCCCGGTCGCGCCCGATCTGATCCAGCAGTATGACGGCACGCGGGCCGGGCGGGGCCCCCCCAAGAGGGTTCGTCCGGCACAGAAGGCGAAGCAGCAGCTCTTGCAGGACACGTCGCCCGCACCCGCTAATGCCACTAATCGCCCTTGGCACTCGTTTCAAAGGAGGAAAAGGGGTGAGGGGGTGAGGGGGGGAGGGGGAGGGTGACAAAGAAACCGACTGACAGCGGACTAACGGACCCCCCCTGCGGGAGGGCCACGAGCAGCAGCAGGGCCCCCGAGGGCTGGCCTCTGCCTGTCGAAATCACTTCCGCATCTCCTCTCTCTTTCTTTCTCTCTCTCTCCCACACACTAGTGCGCCCGGCACCCAAAGCAGAGCGCACAGCAGCACAGCATGGCAGTGTCGCCGAGCGGCCTAGCGTGTCCTATATCAGCCATCTCGGCGCCGAGAGAGAGAGAGAGAGAGAGAGAGAGAGAGAGAGATGCAGCACAGCATTCCACCACGCGGGGCGGCCAGCAGCAGCCTCATCCCTCTCCGCACCTGTCTCCCTCGCTCTTATCTCACCGTCTCTCTCCGTCCCGCCGATTCCCAATGCACTTTAGATGCAAATGAGCGCGTCTCGCACACACACAAACACACACACAGTGTTTTGGCAAAGAGTAACCCGGCCGTCGCAGTCGGAGCGGCTGCAGTACGCGGATGGCGCAGAGTGAAGCGGTGCTATCCGGTTCCACAGGGATATGAATGAATGGGCCTCCACGACCGGCCGAGGCGGAGGCGGCGGCAGCAGCATAGCAAAGAGTGAGAGAGGAGGTAGGAAAGTAGCAGTACCGGGCCGTAAAACAACAAAAAGACCCGCGAGTCAAACACGGCAAAGCAGCATAGAGCCGAGCAGGGAGGTCTCTCACCTCTCTCGCTATAGCCCGCCGACGACGACTCTCTGGCTGCGATGCGATGCGGTGGGTTGGCTTGTGTCTGTGCCGGCTCCACCTCCCCCCCCC